TTTTTTTTTTTCTTTTTCTTATTTGTCCTGATTCCTGTACATATGTTCTGCGCAGGTGTTTGTGAGCTGTAATTTCTGTGGAAAGTCTATATCATACAGCTGCTCAGCGATGCCTCATCAGGGCCGTGGATTCAGTCAGTACGGGGTCAGCGGTTCACCCACCAAGTCAAAGGTCACCAGTTGCCCTGGCTGTCGTAAACCACTTCCACGCTGTGCCCTCTGCTTAATGAACATGGGCACTCCTGTGTCCAGCTGCCCAGGTAACAGACGGATCATTTAAAGTTCTTCTTCAATTATGATACCATTATGTAAACATGTTCAGTTCACTCATCTCGTCCATCTTATCAGGCACAGGAAAAGCAGATGAGAAAGCCGATCTCACACGAGACAAAAAACTCGCACAGTTCAATAACTGGTTCACCTGGTGCCACAACTGCCGGCATGGTGGTCACGCAGGTCACATGCTCAGCTGGTTTAGGTAAGAGTCATAAGAGTCACCCATATTGTGCCATTTATTCGATGACCTTATAAATACAAATACACTACTGTTCAAAAGTTGTTTTTTTTTAAAAGAAATTAATACTTCTATTCAAAAAGGATGCATTCAATTGATCAAAAGTGACAGTAAAGATATTTATAATGTTACAAAAGATTACGATTTCAAAAAAATGCTGTTCTTTTGAACTTTCTATTCATCAGAGATGAAAAAATGCATCACAGTTTAATATTTCATAATATTGCTGTTTTTACTGAATCAAATAAATGCAGCCTTAAAAGTAAACTGTGGTTTATAGTATTAAGTATAACATTTTCTGTGCCATTATATTGTCTTTTCTTTCAGAGATCACAGTGAGTGTCCCGTGTCAGCCTGCACCTGTAAATGCATGCAGCTGGACACCACAGGCAACCTGGTGCCTTCTGATAGTGTATAAAGGCCTTTCTGCCTTCGTTTTCCAACTTAAATCTCCCAAATGACTAGAAACCAGCTACCAACATTAGTTCTGTAAGTGATGATGGCAAAGTTCTCACAGTTTCAGAAGTTAATGACGAGCATATGTGTCTTTTCTGAAGTGATTTGCACACCTCACTGGTATTGAAGTTGACGACAGGTGCTCTATTGTCACAGGAACTAAAGCAGTTAGATTATGTTACCCATAATTAAGTCACCCACCCGCGGGCAGTTGTGTGTCCTGAGACGTCCGACCTTCTCGAGAAAGAATCCATGTGAATGTCTGACCTATGCATTTGTGGTCCAGTAGCAGGAAATTCTATGAGTAAAACTATTTCAGTATCAACTTTAGAGACAAGGAAAGAGATACCACAATAATTTCAACCTGAGGAGTTTGAATGCATGTCAGGAATGTTTTGTTTATATCTTAGAAAGTGCTTCACACGGTCCATAAATACTTCAACTATTTGCCTTTGAGTTTAGCGATTCATATTGTTTTATTATTATGTATTTATTGCATATTACTCAATACCACACTGAACCTCGGTCAGCTGTTGAAAATTTAATTTGTCTGAGATCTACAATACAGTCAAATGATCTTCATTGGAAAGTGGTAAAATGTCTATTCAGTTTGTTTTAAAAATTGCTTTTAACAAATAACACAAAGTGATTTTTGCAGATTTTTGTTGTTTAAAATATGTAGGTTTAACATTAGTTCTGGCTAAGTGTTGCAATTTTGGATCCAAAGGTAATGCTGTTTTGTAGTGCTTACCTTAATTTATTGCACAATCAATGCAAATGTAACATCCTAACTATTTAAATTATTGTGTCTGTATTTTTTGAAAAGCAAAACGAACTTCCTTTGAGGACTAATGTTATTAAAATATTTTTTGAAGGAGTTTGAATGCAGTATTTTTTTTTTCCTTTATGCAACCAAATAATGAGACATTTTGTTTGCTTCAATTAGATTAATACAGATTTTCAGTTTAGTGAACCATGATGAAGATATGCAATAGCAGAAATTAAGAGATAAACTGTTTAGATCAAGTTTAAAATCTTTACTTACTGCAAAAAAAAAAAAAAAAAAGGGGTACGAACATGTCTGAGTCATAGTTCGCCCAGAAAAGCCTATTTTGGAACTATATTTTAGGACCATACCAGTTTTTTTTTTTGTGTTGTGACATTTTCATGACAATAAAGCCATTGAGTCTGTAGTGCTAAGACCAGAAAGACAATTCGCATTTCGAGACATGGGACTCATGACATTTCTGTTGTTTTTGTGCATAGCTATTTTGGGATTCATCACAAGTAATATATATCGTAAAATATGGTCTGTGGTTATCGTTACTTGTCGAGACTTTCACGTTTTGTTCTGCAACATAAATTGCAGCCATACCTCCAATTCACTTTTGAGCTATGGCTGTAATTTATAATGTAGAACAAAACAAAAAGAAATTCCCGAGGGAACCCCATGACAACAGTCTTCCCTTGGAGAATTTGGATGGAAAATGTGCTTTGTCATGAGAACTAATAGCATTTTGCTATCAATGGCATCAAACTGAGCTTCAGGCCCAATGCCATTTTGAGTGAACAAGAACACAAATGAGGAAGAGGGGAAGGTGTTCGGTTAATAATGACTTCAGTGTTGGCCTGTTTCTCACACAACTTACAAATACATACAACAACTTCCTTCTTGTATAGACAACTCTCATGAGGTTTTTTTTTTGTGGCCATTTTTAGAGCTCAACAGATAGAGTCACTATGAGCTTTTGTGTTCATTGTACGGGTTTGGAACGGCATGAGTCTGAGTAAAGAATTACTTTTTTTAACTACTCCTTTAAGATAATTCAAGTAATGATTCCCAGAATGTAAACAAAACTCCTACACTTTCTCTGTTCAGAATATGAGACGACATAAAAACATTCCACAGCTCCTAAGCAGTGTCTGTTTTCCAAGCAAAACTAAACTCCACCCCAGCTGATAATGCAGTGATCTCATTGGCACTTCGCTGTAAGAAGGCACGCATAAGCCAATAAGCAACGAGCAGCGGGGGTCTCTGCTCCAATCAGATTCAGCGTGCCGTGCCTTCCGCCCGCCCACTGCCTTTACTGCAACACATCTGTCAGCGCAGGAGCACTGGGGAGTTTGGACCTGCGTCTGAACTTTGTGTCCACTTTGATTCAAAGTTTTACAGGGAACGACAGGCTCGTACGCACACAATAGATTAAGAGGAAGTGAAATGTAATAATAGCTCGGCTTTTCGCATGAACACGTTTTCAGTTCTCGTTCTGGAGTTTATTATTGTGTCCCGTGCGCATTTACGCATCAAGTGCAACAGTAACTCCAGACTTCAGCCTGTGTCTGCCAGTGTCCCTCTGAGATGGAGTGATCAGACGAGATCAGCTTCATTCTCCTCTTCAAGACACAGCAGAAGTCCATCATCATCATCATCACATGCTGCAAATATGAAGCAGATCACTAAGCCCACCAGGATCCCATCAGAGAGTCACTTTATAACAGCAGGGAGAGGTAAGCTTAAATTTAACCTGTTTAAACTCCTGTTAATGAGTTTGTTTGGTCTTAAACTCTTTGCATATGATCTATAACTAGTATTTATCATGTGAGCTTGATTTGACTGCATCTTCCACATTTGATATTTATTGATTACACTTTCCTTCCTAAGGTTTTATAGATATTTTATGATCTGAATAGTATCTGTTATATATGTGCAGTTAGGTTTAAATCACTGAAGAAGACAAAGTTGTATAATTATAGTCGTTGTGTAAGTAAAATGTTCACTTGCAGTCAACTGTTCGAGAACAGTTTGGCAGAATTGTCAGATCCTGTACAAAGACAATTAGAAATGATTAGGAAAAAAAATAGTAATAAATGAAAGCCGTTATATTATATCAAAGTTAGGACCCAAACCAAACCTAGACCTACTAAGACCCAGATCCAGAACAAGATTAGACCCTTGAGACCCCGATCCAGTTCAACACCACATTTCTGTGGCCATCAGCGATCTCAAGACCTTGAGATAAAGACTGTAACTTTGTGTGTGTGTGTGTGTGTGTGTGTGTGTGTGTGTGT